TGATCTGCTGAAATCATGCTCTCATCAACATAAATATCATATAATGATAAGGTTGCCCATCGGACTGACTTGTTTTTCAATAACATGACATCCACAATGGCCTTCATTATGGCTGGTGCAACATTTAACCTGAAACCCATTCATGTCAAGCAATATGTTTGCCCCTTGAAGGTCAAAGTTTGAAAGGGCCAAAGTGACTTGTGGGTATGCACTTGTAGATAGGTCAGGGATAGCGACATCAGGTCTTTTTTGGCGCCACTCCCTCAGTATCTGTGTGCACACATCAGCACTGGCTGTGTGTGTCTAAGCACTCATTCAGTTCTTGATAGTCTAATACTGGCTGCACTTTACTTTTGTTTTTCTGCACCACCGCCATCAATGGAATCAATGGTTTCGTCAACAAGGACATTTGTAAATAAATTTTACATGTCAAATGAGGCTAGAATACCTTGGTTTGGTTTTGTTTTTAAGGATTTGGAGAAATTTGTTGGTTGATTTGATGCTATAATTGGTAGATAGATATGGAATAATAATAATATATCATTAAGAAATTTTGGCAGTTGTAAGTAAATGCTGGTATCTGTGAAATGATAGGTCATAATGGATATTCAGTTTGTGTATTTTAAACATTACCGTATAGGTATCCTGGTTGGTAATCTCCAAAAATTTTGTTGATTCCCAAGGATACTACACCAGCATTGTTAGATGTTATGAGTTTGTTAACAGATTTTTTTTTTTATTTTAGAGTGTCAGTGGAATTTGTTTAATTCTGTAAATTTAGATCAATCATCAATGAAGTACTGTAATTTTTCATAATAATCCAAATTTGTCACAAATTATGTAAATATTGGATTTATCAGCACCTCTGATGTTAATATTATGATTGTTTTTTTATAGTTCTTTTGCAGCAGCTTTGTTGCTGGAATATTATTGTGGATATTGTGAGGAGCATAAACTTATAGACCTTCTGACTTAAGATCTCTGAGGTTTGGATGAAGTTTTAGTAATTTGTCATAATGACTGGCATAAGACCCCAATTTCAGTGTGTGGGGTTTGGGTGAATGAATGGATCTATCAATCAATCATACATACAAATTAACCTACGTGATTGCTGGAAGTAATAAAATGAATTAATACAACAAAACTGAAGCTATTATAAACAGAATTTGTGATGTCTCATAGCAAGATTTGGAGAGAAAAAAAAAGGGGAGAGAGAGAAAAAAAATAAAACCCAGTGTTCATGCTAATTACTATAAAGTATCTAAGATTTACTTAGCCTAGGCTAAGTTATTAAAGCAATCAATCATTATTCAGGCATTTTGCAATGTGGAAACAACAAATGAAGCAATAAAACTATTGGGTCTTAAAGATGAGTATTTTCAAAGCATATCCCTCTGAAGTAAAGAAACAGAAAAATTAAAAACAGTTAAGTTACAGAAATAACTGACAACTTTGTTTTTTAGCAGATATCAGAAAAATATGTACAACAGTACAATACACTTCTTTACTCAGCTTTGCATCAAAGCAATAAAGTTTGTATTCAAGGTGACTAAGAAATGGATTGGTTGTCAAAGAAATAAAGTGATCTTCAATCAGAAAACATCTACAGTATAGGATGATCTGAATGTAGGGTAAATTTCTTTCTTGGCTTTGATAGATTTTATAAAATTCTTTTTGTGCTTGTAGAATTCACGATCATAGGTAGGGTAGAAATAAATATATAAAAAAATTTAAAATTAGCTTATTACAAAGAGAGTGACAGTATTAGAGCTATTGCTCAAAAACTTAGATCTCAAATTGCCATAGCTGATTAATTTGTTTTCTATGGCTTAACCCTTTGTAGATTATTTAAAGTCAGAAAATATTTTTAGATTTTAAGAATTTTTTTTAGAGATAATAATGATTTAGTGGTACAAGTCTTACTAATTAACCCATAGCTGGGAAAGAAGATGGATTCATAACTTTTCCAAGGGTATTTGTGCATAAGTGAATATAACAAACCCAAATGGAATTGGAACATAGCTCTCCAATTAACAATTCCAAGTCATTATCTATTATACCACTCACATGTCCAAGTTTACAGTACCTGGTATTTCCAAGTGGTCATCCATAAGACCACAGCTACTGAAAAACTGAATGAGAATTGGTGTTCACTCAAACTGGTAAAAAACAAATATCTCTCTCTCACACACACGGGGTGCAGAAGAGTTGACTCAAACAAGAAACCCTTATCTGGTCATTTGCTTGAATTTTGCAAAGTTGGTCTGAGATCTTTTCAGCATTCCCTTGTATTTCCGATTTAAACTTTTTAAAAAAAAAAAAAAAAAAAAAAATTGGGCTATTTTTACTATGATGGTTGAGAAATTTTAGATCTTACAATGTAAAACTACAGTTAAACTTGACAGAGCAAGCAATTGGTTTAAGTGGATTTAACCCACTTTTCACATTTTTTTTTTTTTTTTTAGTCATCTCAATCATCTCAAGTTTTGTGTGTGAACAGGAAAAACTTCTTAACTGGTCAGTAGAAAATCTTCAATCTAATTGAGCTATAATAATATAGCTTATTCTGGAAGTCAATTTCTAGTAGGTAGTGAAGGCTAGATTTTGAGCAAAAGAGTATTCTATATTCTCACCAAATAGCTCCTTCCAATTATGAGTGATATATTTCCTGTGAGTATTTTGCTGTATGACACTAGAGTTCGAATGTATGTGATATAAGCTGCTCATTCATTATTTTGGGGATCTTTATAAATGTATCATTGTTTATAGAATTAAAACTTTATCCTATTAATCTGTGAGACACTGATATAATACTGACAAAATCATTTAAAAAATATTTTGCCTATGCTTGTGAAAATGACAAATTCAGCTGTACATGAATTTAAAAAATTGAATCTACATTAATCTTCCAAATTACAGAAATATAAAGTAGCATTTTTAAGTGAATTTCAAAGACAATAATTAGATATTTGTACACAGATCAATTCAACCACATATGTGCAATTTCAACTGGGTTTACAATTGTCCTAAGAGAAAGTGACACTCTTCTGATTAGCCAATACCTAACACTTTTCATCAATTGGTCCAATTGGGAATAGAATTTGTTTGAATATTTGATTTTGCATAAGTAACTTAATAAATTAATCCCTTCAAATCTCACCAGATACACTGCATTTACCTTCTGTTGCTAACTTGCTTCTGAAGTTGTTAACAATGGTTCATTTTGTTTTCCTTAGGACCTTGTCAACACCTGTGATCATTCTTTTCAAAAATGCAACATTTTTATTACATTTGAACAGAGAACCATACATAAAAATGCAGCCTATTAAATGTTTCTCCATTAAATTGTGAGATACCCAAACATAATAGTGATTCACATATCCAAGTGTTTTCAAATGCCTTACAACACTCATATGGAATATGTGAATTATCTCTGCAATGAACTGTATTCTGAATCAAATGAACCACTTACAAACAGTACTCTCAGCAATAGCACCATCTCCATAAATGGCACATATCTTTTTGTTGTTTGTACAGGTTTTATTCCTTTCCAGAAACAAAAACTTCAAACAATGAAAATGCATTTCACTTTCCTCCGTTTTCACTTAACGTAAAAACATTTAAAGTTTATGATCCACAGATGAATTGTGTGGAAAGACATGTTGAAATACCACAAATTTCAGTCATATGTGAAACCAAATAACATGTTCAAAAGCCATCTATTGAAAAATGCAACAAACTTCTGTTCCAACCAAATATTTTCTGCTTCATTTTAAAACTTTTTTTAATGTCATGTTACTTCAAGATCATGGTTCTCCACATATTCCTTATTTTCTTATTTGTGGATTGCCATAACTTCTTGGGAAAGATAGTTTATTTCCTGTTGCCTTCTCCACACTTTTGAATTCAGAATTGTCTTTCTCCTAGACTGATTGACAACCAAGGCTGTAAAGCCCAATCAACCTTGTTATTTAAACCATAACTTGAGGGGAAAAGAAGAGATGGCATCATGCCTTTCCTAAGAGCAGTAGTGTGAAAGTGAATGCAACAGGAAAGGCCATAATTTAAATTCTGATTCCATTTTCCAATTCCAAATTATTATGGTGACTGCACATTCAATTTTAAACTATGTAAATAAAAAATGAAATATTTTTAAGTTTACTAATTACGACCCTACATAGGTATCAACATTTTAACAAATTTATAATAAACCTGTAAAATTTATTCAAACATATTTTTGCTGTTATATAAAACTTTTTAGCAAATGCATTCTTCAGCCCTCTTCAGATATAATCCAGGAGAAAAAGGAAACTGACAGAACAACCTGCAAAGAAATTGTTCATCAAAATATCCACCAAACCAGTCTATTTTTGCAATGACAGGTACACCAAGTGTCCAAGTGTTTCCATATCACATTAAGGTGAGGGTGGTACCCACACTTAATACCATGTTTGATTTGATTTTTTCATAAGCTGATAAAGTCACTAAAATGCAAAAGGTTACCATGAGTAAAAGAAACTGGAGAAAATGGTATTGAGGGAAGAGAGAGAGAGGGGACAATGAAAGACCATGTTTCAAGATGTTATGTTCTTTTGGAATTCCTGCTTTAACTAAATACTGAGGTTGCAGTCTATGAAAAGATGCATTTAAAAAATGCTCATGCTTATCACCAAATTCAAAAGGCCAGACTTAGCTTAAAATAGAAGGAGGGTTGGGCAGACTCTTGTGGAAAAGTCATTTGCCCTGCTACCTAACATTGAGCTTGAATGAACATGAATAATTCAAACTATTCTTGTTACTAACACAAACTAACAATTTAGGTAGAAATAGGCTTTAAGTGTAAACTGGTTATTCTAGAAGAGAAAATGTGCATGTATATACATCAATAATAAATTCAGAGAATGTTCTATTTTTCTAATTCAATACAAACCTTTTTACTTCTTCAGTTGTATATTGTTTAACTTATAACAAACAGTAAAATATATTTATAAGTTATTTACCTTGGTACACTGGCAAGATAAGTCATCAATCTTCGCAGGTCCTCATATTTTAACCTTTCAGGATGTGTATGTGAAGGGAATGTAAGAATAGGGCCTCCTCGTTTATCCCGGCCACCTCAAAACAAAATGAGAAAAAAAAATGTTAAAATGAAAATCAAAAATTTAAAAACAATAGCAAATCAGTTCACACAATCTTTTAAACTCTAAAAAGATAAAACCATTAAAACACCTCAAGTTCTATCCCTTGTGTTTGGAACATTTCTAGAGTTAACATAAAGATAGCCTGAAATTAAACCGTGAAAATAAGATATCCAACAAATACAGCTTCAAAATTTCAACTATTCATCAAAGTGTACTGTTACATTTGAGAAAAAAGAAAAGAAAAGAAAAAAAAAAAAAAAAAAAGAAATTTTATTTTAAAATCAATTTTGCTACATGCTCTCATATATGCAGATTTTAAAAATCTGCACATTCCAAGGGTAGAAATAAGTATATAAAATTTTTTTAATTAGCTTATTACAAAGAGAGTAACAGTATTGCACAAAAAACTTAGATCTCTAATTGCCATAGCAATTTTTAGAAAAATTCAGAAATATCTAGCACAAAGAAATAACCAAGAAGGTCACCGTAATTGACTGTTGTAGGTAATCATTGTCTTCAAAAAACAGCAAAAGATAAATTGTCCTTTAGAGGGCTTCAAAATAAACACTGCCATAAGAGTTCAGCAAGCTATTAAATGATTCAAGCAACTTTGTTTCAGTCCAGAATGGAGATTCTTACTTTGACAGATAGAGAAAAGCAACTTGTACCAAGAAATAAATGAAGATAGTGTTCTCTGATGAGAAATTCAATATAGATTATCCAAGTGGAATGTAATGGTACAAGTATGATCTTTAGAAAGAGAAGCTAGTCTTTCCACATGTGCATTTGACAAATAATCTGTTATAGTGAGGATCTTTTCCCATCAAAAGTTGAATTGGTGATGATGGAAGGCAAGCAAAATGCTCAGTGTCAGTCGAAGTGTTAGAAAAGAGTGTTGTCACATTTACTATTACAGAAGAAATTTTGTATTCCAGTAATGTAAATATTGACAATACTAAGAAAAGCTTTAAACTCAAGAGCATCATTTATGGACAAGCAGATGACAATTCCATTGAGAACTTGTAGTGCATCATTTCAAGAGATCTTTGAGCAAAGAAGTCAGTTTGAAATGTAGAACAGCTTAATCTCTACAATATAGTATTTGCTGGGACAAAATTCCACTTGAAACTTTGGAAAAGCCTGCATTCTCAAAACAAAATAAATGTAATTACATGAAAACTATTGCCCTCATTTTCATCATATTTCAACAATTGTGCCTCTCAGGCTTCACCAGATGTTTACTAAGCCAGGTAACCTCCATGGAATTTCAACCTGAACTTTTTATTTAATCCATAGGGGGTAGATAGTTTTCACTCTGCTGACCATATCTATGGATATTTCATCTATTTCTTATTTCAGTACTGCTCAATTATTGCTTGCTCCATTTCCACTGAATCTAAGTATGCACTGCCTGGTCCAGAGATTGAATACACAATTACTTTGTCACCAAATTAACAAACCAATGGTTTAATCCACTGTGAACAATCCTGAATATAGAACTTGAAATCTTAAAACTTATCTGCCTGTTGATCGTCTTTGTATGCATTCACCGAGACTTCATTTATTATTTTTTTATTTTTTTTTTTTTACTGCGTCTGTTGCTCTCACTTTATTAACAGCTCTTATATTGTTTTTTTTTTTTGGGTCCAGTATTGAATTTCTTCCTTTATTATTTATCTCTCAAATATTTTTAGCAGCAAAAATAATAAAAAATGTTCTTATATTTAATGATAATTTGATACTATTATTAGTTTTATTTTTTCTTATTTATTGATTTGTTTCTATTATTGTCATTAAAGTAATAAGTCAATGTGGTACATTTTATAACTCTTCACTCCAACAACCAGTGTAAAATATATATGGTCATTTCTTGTCATGGTAGAGGGCTTACTTGTCCCAGTGATCCCAAGAGCAAAGCCATCTGAAGTTCCAACACCATGATGGTAAAGTCAAAGAGGAAGGATCAGACTGAATGCAACCAACTCCCAATCACCCCAACAGTGGAATAAGCAAAGATCTACACAATCTAAACAGCCAAAGCAGTGGAAGAGGACAGCACCAATCAGCCAGATGCAACTAGGTCTCACCTGTCTCAATCTCTTTTCAGCTGCAAAGCAAGTGCTTCTGGGCAAGTGTGTAGGCTTCTGTACTACACAAAGTTGTGCACCAAAATCAAATTAACATGAATGACCTCATTAAAGTATTTAATTCACGCTATCTCTACCACCACCACCAGGGGAGAGAAAGAGAATAGAGAGAAAGGATGATGATCCCGATGCTCAGATGCAAGTGGGTGCTGACAGCAATTTCTATGCTCAACCTCCTAAGTAGATGCTCATAACTTAGCATATGCACCAATTCTTTCAGACACCTGATTCTACAGTGTTGTTCTATATCTGGATGATTATCTTTTATCCCTCCATTTGTTCAGTTTAAAATTTTCTGAAGGCTGCCCAGATCAACAAGTACATGATGAAAGCCAGAAGGCACAATGACCAAAATGTGATGATAAAGAGGAGAATTTTAAAATTAAAAAAAATACCTTTTATTTATTAAGTACAGTCTAATTCAAATTTAATTTAAAAATTGTTCATATCATCTCAAACTTAATTCCCTACTCAGAAAATATGCTTTTTTCAAAATTTACATACAACTATGAACTCAGAGAACAGAGGCAAAATTGATTTTTTTTTCTTTCATATTAAACAATTTTTAACCAACATTTGAAATTGATGCCTTGGCATAAGGTAATAGTGATTAGTTTGATTTTACCAGTGTTCCCTAGATTTATGGCTCTATGCCAAACTCAGCTCAACTTAGTAAATGACAACACACTATATTTGTGTAATATCTAAAAGTATTTCCACCACCTTGTATTTTTCTAATTCCTATGTAACCATTTTATATAACAGAAGAGTAACATTTCTATGAACAATCTCTTATGGTAAGATATTGCAATAATCTGATTCATGAAAATTAAGCTAACTGATAAGAAAAATTGTTCAACTCATTTACTTATAAGAGAACTGAGCTGAGCAGATAATTCAGGGAAAACACATTTTATATAAAATCCTTTCTTTTATTGATTCAGTTATCAACTATGATTTAAAAATTATCAAATGAAAATCAAAGGGCAATTTAGAGATGCCCTTTGGTATTGAAAAACTGACAGCAGGTTCATATTTCTCATTTAGCATTTTGGAATTATAGCAACAAAAAGGTGATAATTATAAAATATCTACTTCAATATTATAGTTTACTATGCAGATTCAAACAAAATATATTTTAAAATGATATCAATATCGTAATTTTTCCCCCAAGAGGTGCTAAAACCTGCATGTCAGTTAAACCTATAAATATCTGAAAATTCTTCTCTGATCAAAAACCACTGTCAGACATTTATCCAGTTATTTGATAAAAGTCAACTTTTGTAGTAAAGGAATTTGAGCAGCACATTGACAAATGTATATATTTGATTTTGTATGAAAATTTCTTTAATCAAAAGTGGTTTATTTAAATAAAGTATAAATAAGTCTTGTTTTAAATTTCTAGATGTTAACCAAAAAAAGCTACTTATGGCTAATAATAAATCAAAAAGCAGTAGCAATAGCAGATGCTGCAATTTGGAAAAAAAAAAACAATCACAATCAGATCTATACTACTACTATGCCAAAGGTTGCATGCATTTGCATTTTTGAACATAATGGCCAAACAAAATCTCAAGTACCAAAATATTTATTTCATGAATAACTAAAAGGCCTCAGGTAATAAACTATGCAAGGTTGACCCCAGAAGTCATTAAGGAACATGTCTTTTCTGTGAAATGAAACAATTCCTTACAGAAGTAGGAGTTATTCAGTTTTCTATAAAATACAAATCTCAGAAATGGTAAGGTAATTATGATCGAATTTAACCCCCTGGGACACAGGAGGTTATTGAAAGGTAATGTAACACTATTTAGCTATGGTAATTGGCTAACTAATTAACCACAGAAATTAAAACAGGAAATACTTAAGGCAAAATGTGCTATCCCAAAAGATATCCCAATTGATGTTAAAAAAAACAAAAAAAAAAAAAAACAAAAAAAAAAAATTTTATCTTATTTACAAAAAAGATACTTTTTTTTTTACAAAAGACAGTAAACCCGTGGAAAAAGCCATATGTGAAATTTGTAAGGTTGATTAATGTCTTGCTGAGGGAGATAGGAAGAAAGGCAAATATTAAGATATCGGCCAGACCATGCCGGTCATAAAAATTTCAGCTTGAGACGATTGCCGATATAGGCAGGGAGAATCAACGTTAATTATCTTTCCAGTCGCAGTTGAGCTGGTTTAGAGTCAGAGCTTAACCAGTGCTGCCTCGCAGAAGCTGACCGAGAGATTCCACAACCTCCGACTTCACCTATCCTACCAATAGCAAGTTATAATGACGGACAAAGCCAAGCCAACACCTAAGAACTAAATCAGTTGATTTAAGATACCAACTTGCTTGAAACATAGAAATGTTACATTTTGTAGAAAACAGGGTGAGAGAAAAACTCACTCCTGTATATAATAGAAGGATAAAGTTAATTTGTTATTTCTTAACATACTTGAACCTCTTTGGTTTTGCTTTTATTTTTTTTTTCATTTGCGCGATACCACCTTCAGTCCAGAATCAGCCTACATTATGGTCCGATGCCTGATTGATCTCATCTACCCAAGATCAAAGTCACAATGTGGGTAGGTTAGACTTGAGATCGAAGCAGTTACTCCAGTAACCAGACATTGCAAGTGAGCTGGGAATGACAGAGCTGGTATTGAACCGGTACAGCTGGTGAAGGCGTTAACATCGATGACCAGAATTTGACCCTGGATGGGCTAGTGTCCCATATTGGTATCCTGACCAGGGGATTTCACCGAGTAGCAATAACCACCGATCGACCAGGACACAGGCTGGTGGCGGCAACAAAGAGTCAACCCCAAAACGCCAGTAGAAGAAACATTAGTTTCGTGCTGCAACTGAAAGTTGACCACGTGCCGATGGCTGGGTGTTACAGTAAAATGTTTGTGGCCTGATGATTGGTATTGCAGGTAAACAATTACATTCTTGGAGTTAAACTGGTACATAGAGGATAAAAAATATATTAGATCACCAAGTTTTTTTTGATGAAAATAGCTTTTTTTCTTCAACTGATCAAAAGGAATTCAAGCATTTCAAAAAAAAAATAAAAAATAAAATAAAACAAATAAATAAAAAAGAAAATAAAAGCCATCAAATTATAAAGACAATCACAAGATCACTGGCTTTAACTTGACTTCTCTATGCTTTTTCCATGGCCAGCTATATATTTGTTATTCTAGGTCTCCATCTGTAAACTATATTTTCATACATGCACCCAATGAGAGAAGCACTTGTGTTGTCTAACCAAAAATCTCATCAACCTAAGGGACTACATCATTTGTTTTGTTTTAGGCATCAGAATAGCTTTTCAGTAACAGCTACTTTTTCATGTATAAGTAATCTTTTGTTACATTTCATAATAAAAAAAAATGTTTTTCCACTAAGTTAATAATATCCGATATCTCTGCTAACGACATTGCTGAGCAGACTTTATCCCAAATATCAATATTATACACATTTTTAATATTTCTAAAAATATGCACAGTTTATTAACCATAATACTGAAGCACAGTTGTTTAAGAAAATTCTTAGCCTCTTTGACAAGTAAATAATTAAAATTAGACACTATTATTTCAGATATCCTCAGTAAAGTTATATTTAAATATAAATTATTCTGGTTACTTCACACCATAAGACACTGTCTGGGTTAATTCTTTTCATAAACAAATAATTACAATCTAAAGCAAGTTTTTAAGAGATACCAAAAGACAAGCATTTATCAGAAATTGTAAACTTTATAAATTCATCCTAAGTTATGGTAACCTCAAAATAGCATGTAAAAAAAAAAAAATGCACAAAAATATCAATCATTATCATAAAATGAAAATTGCTTGCCTATTAATTAAAATTAAACAACAACCAAAAGCACTCAAATTTCTCACTTTGATAAGTAACAATCAAAGTGTTTTTGTTTTAGATCAAATTTACCATTTTTGACAATGGTAGAGTAATGGATAGTGACTCAGATTGAGGAATAGAAGAGTGAGTTTTAATTCCAGTTGAATCCATTACATTCACTTACATGCTAATACCTTTGGGAAAGGTATGAATCCTCTTCCCCCCCCACCTATGGGTAAATAGCAGGACAGACCAGGTTCTATAGCCTTGGATGGCAACTGGTCTACTGTAGAAAGAAATGGCAACCTACTGCAGGAAAAAAATCTGCCTCGTCAGTCATGTATCAAAAGATACATGATCACCCATGTGTGTATCACGCATGGCACATAACTGACTGACATATGAACATATTTACATAGTAAATTATTATGTCAGAACAAAAGTTTGTTATTTTAAGTGAATTTCAAAGACAAAATTTATATATTTGTACATAGATTTATTCAACCATATATGGGTCATTTTTTCCATCTTTGAAGCAGATTCACGACTCCAACTTCCAGAACTTGACATCTTTCTGGTTGGTGAATTGTTTTAAGTGGTTTTTACAGGGTTACAGAGAATTGAAAGTTCTCATTAAGAGAATTTTGTAGGGATCAAAATTTGGCAATCCCAAGATGCAAGGTCAGGTGAGAATGGTGTATGAAGTATCTCATTATATGAGATTGGAAAATTCTTAAACTTAAGGAATCAGCACATATGCTAGGTCACAAAAATCTCCTGAGCCGACCAAGCATAGAATTGAATACAATATGGGAACCAGTAATAAGGAGTGCCAGAGAAAAGCGATAACAAAAATTGCAATATTAGCTCTGGTAAAAACATGTAATGATAACAGCAAAAATTGCAATATGAGCACTAAAAAAAAAAAAAAAAAGCTTGCTGAAGACATTAGGTTTATAACACCCAGAAATTCATACACGGATGTTCTTAAGGACACATGGCACAGTGGATAAAGGCATTAGTTAGATCCAGTAACAGGAGTTCAATACCTGGTTAAGGCAGTGGAGAACTTTGAGAGGGGAATTAACAGGAGATAACTGACATCCATTAGACATGGCACGTGGAACTAGAACAGTCTATCCCAGTGAGCGAAATAAAGGGTTCAGTTCAACATTCCAACCAACTGAAGAAGGCAGAAGCGTACAACAGCCAAAACGTGATAAATATGGCGACAAAAATGAGGGCAATAGTCCAAATAATGATAAATAGGTCTAATATGGTCCTGATAAAATATGACACATTGGCCAATTTTCATTGATCACAGCTTTTAGTTAGTCTAATTGGTAGTAGTACTTGACTAAATGCAATATTTGATTTTGCAAAAAGAGAGTTTTATATAGCCCCACCCCCATTAGCCCTTCTAATCCCAACAGATACACAGCATCACCTACTTTAGATGCAGACTAACTTTTGAAGTAGTTAACAGTTCACATCCCCACCCGTATACTTTGCATGCTACATTATTGTAAACAAACCCTTTTTTTCATCACCTGTAATGGTTCTTTTCAAAAATGGGTAATATCTGTGGTGTCTGAGCAGATAATTACAGATGTAAATGAAATTCATTAATCAGGAGATATGCAGAGTATCTCTGCGATTTCCCATATTGTATGACCGAGATATTTTTAATCAGCATTTTGATTTGGTCATCAACAATTGCAGGCCTGTTGGAATATTCTAACTCTTATGCACAAAAGTTTCCATTTCTGAACTTAAACCACTTACTCTCAACTATGGCACCATACAGGTCTGTTTTTGCTTTTTGTAAAGTGGTTTTTTTTTTCTTTCCAGAAATAAAATAACATCAAATGATGAAAATGCATCTTATTTTACTCCATTTTGAATTTTTATATAAAAACATTACAATCTACACATAAGTTGTATACAAAGATGCAGTGAAATGTTGTCTTTCAAGATTATATATATATATATATATATATATATATATATATGTCAAATTTTAGTCATGTGGATCAAAATCACATGTTCAAACACCACAGTATCAACTTTTGTTCTAACTCAATGGTAACATTTTGAATTTCTTAAAATATAAATACCAAGATTTAATGAAAGATAACATGCAAATCACTCAATCCAATGACTTAGTTATCAAATAAAAGACGTGTAATAATAGTACCAATACAGAATTTTTTCAATCCAATTCAAAAATGCAATTTTCAACATTTATTTAATAAAATAGCCTCTTAAAAATTTTTTTTGTTACCTGAAAGGTATGCAACTCTTTCTCTGAGAATAGGAACAATATCTGCTGCTTTCAACCCATCATTTCTTCTGCCACCTAGAATTAATAATAAAAATAAAAATACTAATGTTTGTAAATAATACATTTTTGTTTCTAATTCAGAAATTCACCAGAAAAACAGCTTCAAGCATGGAAAATAAATGTCAGTTTTCATATTTGTTCAGTACACATTTACAAGATGCTTAAAAGTCTCCAAACTGTTCAAATACAAATCAAAATAAAAAATAAAAAAAAATTAAAAAAATCCTTCAAACTAGTTAAAAAAAAAAAAAAAATGTTTCACCAATGAATCAATGTCATCAGAAAAAGAATTTTATTTCAATAAAATTTACATTAGCAAAACAAAACAGGATTCCTGTCAATTATATGAATTATTAATTTTTATTTTAACTAATTTCAAATCATTTTTTTAAATTTTTTTTATGTATTCATTTATTCCAAGGTTTATATAAGCCACATTGTTTCAGTACTAGTTTAGTAAGAACAGGCAATAAATTGAAAGCCTAATCATATATTAATTGTAAATAAAAGGTACTTCCAATGCATCCTCGTCCAATTAGATTATATTCATTTTTATTAATAAAACAGCATTTTCCAAGTGAAAATTGTGATTATAAGGAGCTGGTAGTATACAAATGCACTGAGTGTATTGTTTACTTTAAGATTTATTAATACACTATGCCACTGGAAGTTCAGGATTACAATTTTGACCAGGAAAATGCCATTTTAATAGACATTTTTACTTAGATGAAGATACATTGTATGTTTTGAATGACATTTTGTCCCACTAATGTAGATTTTGTTGAAATAAAATATTTTTCTGATGACATCAATTCACTTGTGAAACACGTTAAAACAAGATTTCTAAATTACTATATGAAAGTAACACCAATCAGTTAAGTGACAAACTTTATATTTGTATTAATTCTGATGCCCTTTGAAGAATGGACAGACATGTCTGCCTAAGAAATTCTAGTGTCAGGATACTGAAGGTAACATCACTCAGTTAAGTGCCAAACTTTTACTCATTCTCATCTGAACTTTACTGACAATATTATAAACTACTTGAACATACTTTTACTAAAAATAAGTGCTAAATGCCAAAGCTATTTTTAGGCGAAAAATTATAAATCAAAATGTGAGGGTGGGTGAAAAGGAAAACATGAAACAAAAAGGGGAAAACTCATGTGATGTTCTCAAAAGCTGCAATTAGACAACTGAAATTTGTCAACAATAATTTAGAAATTACAGAGCAAAATTGAAAAATTTTCTACAATAACTGAAAAATTTAATATATTATACAATTGTCTATGTCAAACTCTTCAGTATTCATGCAATGCTTTCTTTTAATTTATTATGGTTAACAAAGTTTTAAAATAAAATTTGGACAATTTTAGATATTGCTAAAGAAAAATATTTAAATCAGCAATATAAATATTCAGTGTTGTCTGTCTATTAAACTGACTGAAATATTAGGGTCAGAAATACAATTTCAGATTTCCTAAAGAAAGTGTACAAGTTTAACAGATTAAGCAAAATAACATTAAATTCTAGTTTCCAAATATGATAAAAGTTTGAAAGCTCCTCTGAAAATATTTTGCAATTATTATTTAACTATATATAATTTTAAAGTCATTTTACAACTAGAATATATATAGAAGCACATCAGTAAGTCCATAGGAGAATTGCGATTTTATACAAATATTTTTCATCAATCTCCTTTTCAAGGCACTTAATTTAGTTAAGAATATTAATCAGAGTGAAAACTATAAGATGAAATCTTTAGATCAAAATTCAACCATTTCAGTCAACAGTATAAAAATAAATGTATATAAAAAAACTACACAGAAGGGTGTGTATACATATGTTTAATTTGGATGCAATTGGGAAGCAATTTCTCATTTATGCACATTTGATTGATAACCAATGAAAGTTCTGTTAAATTTTCAATCTATTTTCTTTAATTCATACAGTTTTGCCAACTTCTGGGTAGAATTTGAACAAAAATTGTCCCATGTCTATTTTTTTTGTTTTAAAAGACCATTATCAAATAACTTTTTATGTGTTAATAAGATTGTATGCATTGTGTTTCTTTGATGGATTTTGCATCTTCATGCATCAATGTGTGTTGTGTAGGTTTCCAAGTATTGATCTTCATGCATAAAAAAAAAAGAACTTATGAAAGCAAGAAACTCATCAAAAGTGAAAAACATTTCAAATTACCACAAGAATGCAAGTCAAAATTTCATAAAATTTACAGTTTCATTTTCTAAAGGAGATTTATGACAGCTTAAGCAAGCCCATTTTCCTATATAATTAAAATTGTTTCTTTAATATATTTAATATTCAATTTAAGAATCTAAGATTCAATTTAATCCTATTTCACATCAGTTTTTTGTTTTTTAGATTTTAGTTTGTTTTTTTTCCATTTAAAGTTTTTTATGTGCAGTATCCCTTCATGACATAGGCAATCATGGCTACCCACAATTTACTCACTTTTACTGTTCTAAGTAACTTTTGATTCTTTACCATATTTCTTTATCCTATTATCCATTCACAAACTTTCTAATTACCATTCAAACTAGTTACAATAAAAAGATGCATTTTAGAAGAGAATATTCAATAAATAATATATCAAAATCACAGCCCACCCTACTTCCCAAAATCTGACCACACAAATTTTTTATGCAGTGCCTGAGGACCACACCCACCTTATAATTTACTTTATTTAAAATGAAAGCTATTTTCTTTTTTTTTTACAATTTACAATAAAAGATGCGAGTTAAAAAAAAAAAAAAAAAAAAAATAATAAATAAATGCAATCTAAATAGAAAGGATTTAAAAGAAATAATTAATAATTTTTACAATATTTATACTGAATGAACCAACTTTGCTAAGTTTTTATTAAATGCTACATTCAACAGAGGAAATATATAAATTAGAAATAATTTGAGAGGCCATAAACTAATGCATGAATAATTATAAAGTTGAATTTTCTTATAGTAAACATTTAAAACAAAAGTGACAAATTGAAAGGAAAAAATGGCAAAGAATATAAAATACAATACAAAAAGGTGCTTTAAAATATATAAACCACAATGAGTAAATTACTAACAAAAGATAAGACACTTTTACAATAAAAGATGAGACATGCCAGGCCAAAAAGGATACTGTATGCAGAGGGCCACAAGTGAATGACAATATACATATACAAAAGCCAGCTATTGATCGACATTTTTTGCATGAAGCACACAACTTACCTTCATAAAGTAGAGCTGCCAACCCAAAAAGTTCCTTAGCAGGATGTTGGGCTACAAAAAAAATGGGGAAGTAACAGGTTTTATATAATAAAAAAAAAAAAATAAAAAAACTTGGACTGGCTGAGGTAACTCATAGAAAACAGCTTTTGTTTTCAAAATTGAAGAGTAAAATCTATAATACAAATGAAAGCCAACATTATATGTAGAAGTTACCCTTATGAAAGTAGAATTACTCCTTGATAATAGCCTTACTAAGTCCAGTTTATAGCCTAAAATACTACTTACAAAAGAATGAAATAAATCAAATATCCATCAAACAAATATTTAAAATTATGACCATAAAATGTCTCTCGACAAGGTATTATCAACAATAAATCATGGTAAAGGAACAAAAATAACAAAACAAAACTTTTGCATCTTAAAAAACAATAGAAAAAAATAGACTGCTGCAACAATCATAAATATATATTAACTTAGTGACTGTACTAAAACACAGATTACTAAAAACTTACCCCAGACCTAAGGCAGAAAGATAATGCAAATTAAATATAACTTTACTCTATCTGAACAACAAAAAGCAAATTGAGTTATTTACTAAGCTGTGTAAGACACACCAAATGGAGTACTAAGTGAAAATCAAATTCACAACATTGACTGATCTTACTATATTTATACCTTGTTTCCTTGCTAAGTCTGGTACATGATTTTGAGATAGACACCATATGAGGCCAAGGTACTTGATACTAACAGTAGAAAAAGAAACAAGCAACTAAATTTACATTCTTTAATCAAACAAACCAATAAAATAATCAGTTGTTTAACTTTGTCGATCCCTTTATTATAAGAGAAAAAGCAACTCCTATTACTTTAATATACGTTTAATCATTTCAATCATTGTCTGACATAAGCACAAAGACATTTGGATAAATTGTCATTATGACAATATTTAAATTTATACATTTGATAGTAAGAGTTATAAATTCAGTTTTAATATAGTTTACTTCGGTTGGTTTATTTTTATATGTTTATAAAAAACACGCATGTATTTTATTTATATATATAAAAATGTGTGAGAGAGAGAGAGAGAGAGATGACTCTCCCATTGTTTTTCGAAGTGTACACAAGCTCAGTTTTTAGAACCAAACAGCCAGATACAATATGATTATAACAGTGACATGAAGACTTGTGCAGAACCAATAACAGTAGAACTAAATACAGAGAACTGGTGCAGAGTTTGACACAAGGTCTCCAAACAACTCTTCAACTGAGGCTATAGAACCCAATCTATCCTGCTGTTTACCCATAGCCAAGGAAAAAAAGACATTCATACTTTTCTCTATTGCATTTGCATGTAAATAAATATAAACTCGACTAATTTCTAAACTGGAGCCGCCATCCATTAGATCACTATGCATATGTACACACATCTATATGCATGCACACACATACGCTATATATCTCATTTTATATCCATGTATTTGGACAGCAAATTTTAATTTATACATGTTTGGCCAAATATAAGTTACTCTCTTATACTAACCATGGTTATAAAAAAAAAAAAAATTCTTAAGCAGCAAAATTAATAACCAACCTAGATCAAGATGTCCTACTAAAGAAAATGTTTGCTCCCTGCCAAGAATCGAACCTGTATTGCTTTTCCATCAGGAAAACTGCTCCTATAGCTGAAACATTCTCTTTTTCTCTATCATATATTTCACACACACAGCAGATGTAAATATAAACCATGATTAGCCTAGCAACAGGCCATAATAGTAGGATACAAAATAAAGATTAAATTTACTAGGCAATACAACTCATTGCTCTTAAGCAGGCAATATTGATTGTTTAGTACCATTAAAAGCTTTACTTACATCATCACTCATTTATTGATAAAACCATTATTAAAACACTATAATTTGGTAAAATTTACAGGTAATATAAAAACAAAGAACACAGGTTGTAATATCCAGTGACAATGATTAATTGAATACATTAATAGCTATAATGTATATGTATATATTGCACAAAGAGAAACTTCATGAAATTGTCACTGAAAATATTATGCAATAAATTCACTTTCAGAATGTTACAGATTAAAATAAAAGGACATCTAATTTTATTATAAAAAAAAAAAAATAATCAGAATCACATTAGTTAATTTGGTACCTGGTCTAATTTAAACCATATCACCCCAGGCATCAGTCTAAATTGACCCCCCACTCCTTATATAAACATTAACTTTCATGATCTTGTTTAATCTTTTCATTAGTTTATTATGAACTTTAAGCAAAATAGTCACCATATGGAAAAGTGTTAGTTTAAACTGATGCCAAAAGCATACTCATTAAAGACTAATCCCAAAGAAAGGATTTCAAAATAAATCCCTTTTCTTTTTAACCATAAGATTATTATAACAGTACAGACAAAAGAAAATCTGAGCAGATTTCATTGAAATAAGTATAATCTTTCATGGTATACTTTTGTCTACTAAAAGTATGCCAATGAGTTACCAATAATACAGATTCGAGATTCATAATATCACACACATATATATATATATATATTAGGACATTAAAAAAAATAATGATTTCTGCCTTTGGTTGGAATTAAAAGAGACTAGACAAAGTTGTAATATCAATAACTTGGTCAATGTAAAAGTTGTAGTAATAATATACTGCAACCCATTGGCCTTGGTGCTTGTAGCTGAAGGTCATTTGAAGTGATTATTCTTCATCACAAATGTTAGTTATTTGAAGACTCAAATTAACTGTGTGCTTTTTCTTCCTTTCTTTATTCCTTTAGAGGTGGATATGAAGATCCATTAAAAGTATTATCAGTGAAATGTCTATATTCCCTTCACAGTTTTTAACTTTATCAGCAAACATTGCAAGGAATTTGGGGTTGTCTTTGACCTGCTTCTTCCACTTACAAAAAAACTACTTCTCAGGGAAATGAGTTCATCATCCACAGAACAGAAGATTAAATGAATTTATTAAATCACCAGGTATGGGTGTCTCTGGCATGGAAAGCACTAATACATAAAAAAAAAAAAAAGAAAAAAAAAGAGGAACTTTACCTACTTAAAAAAATTTTATGATTATTATCTTCCATACTGTTATGATGACAGATTAAAAAAACAAAAAATATTTCTAAAAATCAAAGTATGTTTGCAAAATTTTAAGTATAAAATGTCATTTTTTTTTTTTTTTTTTTAATGAAAATTTAACTTAATTTAACCTCCAAAATAGGACCTAATACCTAGAATTAGTAAATAATCATTAAAGAAAAAAAGAAAAGAAAAAAGTAAACTGATGATTTACCTAATTACATTTCAAATTTTATGGACCACCGTACATCTAAGTTCTTTTTTTATTTTATATGGAGAATTAGAGAAAATATTGCCAGCCACAAATGTCAATGTTTCACCCATAAATTCTCCTTAAACTATCCTTGACTCATAACTTCCAACTTAGAACGGAGTCTCTTTTGAATGATGTGCATATAACCCCTTCTACAATTTCTGCTATCATCTCTAATCTGGATCCCCACAAAGCATGTGGATAAATGTCTCACTGTCTCTTGCTTCCCTGCCTGTTAAAAATCCTCACCTGTTTCAGTTTTTAAGAACTCTGGTGACAACTATCGACCTATTAGCCTTCTACCTCATTTGGGAAACTACTAGAGGCCCTAATCAATGTTGAATTGCTTAAACATCTCACATTCCAAAGCCTGTTTCAGACAAGCAATATAGTTTTTGTTTTTCTATGTCAACTGCAGAAAGGGTCTATCAAGTTCTAAATCAGAATGGTGAAGATTCGGCTGTTTTAACAGATCTTCACAAGTTGAAAAGTTAGTGTTGCCAGCCAAATTTTTGAACTGATCCAATTTTTCTTATCCAATCATGACATGAAAGTTACCCTGAGTGGCCACTCTTCTAGATCCTTTTGTACTAATGCAGGTGTCCTCCAGGGCTCTATCCTTGGTCCTACTTCATTTTTTAATTTTTATTAATAACTTTTCCAATGCCATCAGCTCTCAACTTGGTATCTATACTGATGACAACCATTTACTCCTGTTTCAATAGAAAGTCTGGTCAGTTTAATAAGGTCAAATTGGTGGTTGATATCAAAAACAACCTTCACTGTTAACTGGGGCAAAGAATGGCTTGTTATTTTAATGCCTCTAAAACTAAACTTCTCTTTATTAATCATGAGAGACCTCCTCCTCTGCTTTCCATCAGCATGACTGATGCTAACCTCCATAAGAGTGACTCGTTGCACTTTCTCATACTAACGTACTTGGCTGACATGAAGTGGAAAAAACATATTGAATCTAATGCTAGGTCAGTTGCTAAGAAAGTTGGATTACTATATCAAGCAAGACAATTTTTCTCTCCAGAATCTACCTTACATATTTAGAAGCCTATCATTCACCCGTGTTTACTGCTAGCATATATGGTCTGGTGCTCCTGCTATATCTAAATATCCTTGGTAAAATCCAAAGAAGAATTAGCAATATAATTGATCCTGATCTGACTGCTCGGCTTCAGTAATTTTCCAACTGCTGTAAAGTTGCCTCCCTGTGCCTTCTCTATAAATATTTTCATGGTAATTGTTCAGATGCTACTTAGACTATGAATTTAAGAGCAGTACTAGACTGGCAACAAAGTTATCAATTTATAGTTGAGTTTGTTAGATGTAAGCATAAGTTCTATGCTAAGTTTTTTTTTGCAGTTCTCACTTGTGAAACTCCCTTGCGACTCCATGCTTTCCAGTCAACTTTAATCTTCAAATATTTAAATACAATGTCAATCCCTATCTACTGTCCTCCTCATTGCTCTTTTGTCCTCACTCCTTAGTAATGTTTCTGTCCTCTAATAATTTCACACCAATTAACCCTTGTGTCAGGAGTTTTACTGCCTTGCTTGGGATGAAATCAATTAATAAAAGTATTTTAAACTAAAAGTAATATTTATTTCAAATTGGATTGAATAAACTTTAAATCAGCTAATCTTAAAGAAAGTTTCGGAAAAGTATATTTTATCGTTGAAA